GGAAATCCAAAAGAGTACACAATGTTTCAGTAGCTGTTGTTGAACATTTAGCTCTTAAAGAGCAGCAAATAGCTGCATGGAAGTAAAAATACAAGAAGGTCAGACACAGCTTACAATTTCATAGAAAGTCAAAAACGTGAGAAATAATGAGGGACTGAAACGACTGTCTGCAATCAAGTGTCCAGTGACCAACAAGGAAAGTGAAGAATAACAGGCTTAAAGAAGGGATCAATTAACTCTTGAAGGGTACTTAAGAAATAAATTAGTAGAGGGCCTCCCTGATGGCAGAAGGGGTTAAGTCTCAGTACTATGAAGCTATCCACCACTGCAGCATGAGTTCAATGCCCAGCCAGGGAGCTACCCACATGGCAAAGCAGACCTCTCCTGACTCACCCACTGCTCGCCCCAGCAGTCTATTTCAGTCAATCCACCTGTTCTGTTCCCCACTCTGTCTCTGGTGAATCCTCTCATACCTCTCCCCCCCCCACCCCGACACACCTCTAGCCTACACCCCAGCTCTTGTATGCATAAATAAATGAATTTTTAAAAAAAATTTCAGGGCCTCCCCTGGTGGCGCAGCGGTTGGGGGCTGGGCTGCGAAGCTGCCTGCAGCCTCTGCAGCGCTGGCTGGATCCCCGGCCGCCAGGCAAGGGTCCAACATGGCACACAGACCACTCCTGCCGCCTGCTGCTCCCCTCAGCAGTGTACTTTGTCACTCTGCCTGTTCTGCTCTCCATTCTAGCTCTGGTGAATTCTCTCACCCTCCCGCGCATCTGACTACCCAGTGCTTGTATAAAGAAATAAATAAATCTTTAAAAAAAATTTTTTTAAAAAAGAAAGAAGTAGAGAATAAAAAACCAAATAGTAAAGGACACAGCCCTGTATCACATCAATATTTATTACGGAACCCACCTGCTTTCACTAGTGTTTTCTCTCAAGGATTAACCTCCACAGCCAATATCAAGGAAAGGACAGGCAACCAACAAGCATCATCCATCAATCAATAAACTGCTCATTGTTATGAAAGCATTGGGACCTTCACTTAAGGACTGCTTCCTCCTCTTGAACACCCCAACAGGAAAGGAGGCAGATCCACAAAGGAGATACCCACACAGTGCTGCCCCCTTCTGGCTATGGATCGGCACTGGAGTAAACTAACCTGTTCCTTGTCTGTCTCGGACTAATTTTTTCAGCCTCATCCATTACCTCTGCCTTGTAGATCTTAGACCCTGGCCACACCAAACTGCAGGCTGTCAACACCCACGAGGCTAGAAAGCCCTTCACCCGCTTCTCTAGTGCACACTCCTCTGGCAAAACCATTCACCATTCATTCCTTTGGCACTTCAAGGAGAAGGAACCAGAGTCTGTGCCTCTTGCAGCCCCAGTTTCCACCCCCACTATAAAGCACAACAGACTGTACTGTAACTTCAACTCCTAGGGGGAAAGGTGCCTCCAGAAAGCAGCATCCTCATCCAACAGTTCTGCACACAGGATCACCATACCTTGTCCCCAAGAATACAACAGTGGAAACAACAGAAACTCTACTCAGGCGTCCTCTAATCCAACCTGGAGCGTCTGTGCAGGCAAGCACACACACAACCACAATGAGCCCATACACCAAACATGAAATGACCACCAATCTTCTACAGAAGGATCCCTTCATCTTTTTTGTCAGAAACCTTTGCAATGTGGTTCCCTTTAAAAAAGAATTCTTTCAGAGAGAAAAGTTATCTGACCTTTTTTAAAAGCTTTCATTATGTGAGTTTTCATAATCCCTTTCTTACAAATCTAGATAATTTTTCATAGTAATAAGACTATGATGAAATCTAAAAAGACAATCCAAGATTCAAAATTTAATAATCTACCATTAGTAATTCAATACCTGAATCATCCAAAACCACTCAGAAATTGATTTCCAATCACTACATTTTCTAAAACAAGTGCTTTATTCTTTCCCTCATTATTAAGTGTATGTCAGTCTACCTTTTGTGAAGTCACCTTGCAAAATGTTTCAATCATTTCTCAACCAAATCACTTGCGGAAGGTTTAAAATATACCATAATAAAGGTAAAATTTAGGGAGTTTTGTTATTATCAGTTATGTTAGAATGTGAGTAAGACAGTGTTTTAAAGATTCAAATAAAACAAGATACAGGTGTACTTTACCTGCATTGTCTGTGAAGCTAACTAAAAGCTCTATATAGATTTGGGAATCAATGAATTTGAAATTGTAAGATACAGCTTTCTTCATTTTAGGGTTAACAACAATATTTATAGCCACCCTTCACTGTCAGACACACCGATCACCAAGCCTCTATACTGCAGTCTTCTTTGAGAAGGCTACTTCAGTGCTTCTCAGTTCAAGTGCTATGACCAGCACACAAGAGTAACTTGCTTACACTGAGTCTAGATAAACTTTTCCAGAGAAATTTCAGTGCTGCAAGCCACATAAAACTACTGAGTACTTTCCTCTCAACACCACTCAGAGGCAACTTCCATGGAAATGTTAAAAAGCTAAGAAGAGAAGCTTAGCTTTGGGGTATTAAAAGCTCTAAAACCAGCCTATAAAAAATAATGGATTAAAGAGGAACTCTCTAAATATTTGATTAAATACCAGGTGGTAACATGTATGAGTTCCATTTTGGTGAAGGAAAAAAGAATTTCAATTCAATAAAAATTCTGTTCCACCAGCTCTGCAAAACTTCACGGCTCATCTGCATTCTCTTAAAGCTTTGCCACTGATGTTACTTGTTTAGAAAGGATCAAGAGCCAATTTTAATATAGGAATTCTTTAATTATATCTGTTCAGGACAGTTGTATGTGGCTACTCATTCTGGCATCTAAGTCATCAGCATTAAAGATCAAAGGCCCCTTGCGTGAATACAGCATCCAAGTTTGTTTGGATTCTATGTCATGGAACCACAGAAAGAATCCAGTAAGTCAACTTTCACTGAATTTATTTATGCCTGTCATTTCCTTTGGGGCATATTCATTTTACAGGCTGCTGGCAAAATAAGAGACACAAAACTGGCTGGTTTTTATTGTTTGGTATTAACTCTTTAAACAGCAGTCATGGAGTTGCAGCTAGTTCAGCCACGTGGCTGGTTCAAACATGAACTTAATTATGTTAAGCCAAAGGCATTTCCAAATTCAATTGACAGGAAAGAGAGATTACCTGCTATTACGATATTGCTCGGTAGCCTACCAAGTCCAGAAGAGCTGCGATTGTTAGAATACCTCAAAAGAATAGAAGTGCTCCTGGGTACTTTTTGTTCTTTACTAGCCTTGAAGTTTTATTTTCCACTCATCCTTCTCATGCCACAACTGTTTTATTATTAATGTCAAGGAAGACCATGAGTGGCTAGTAAAATGGCTGCCTGTGTGAACAAAGTAACAATAGTTGGGGATGGAAGGCGGTTATGTACCTCCTACCCAAGGAGTGCTCCCCTTTCCCACAGCAGTCAAGGGAGGGACACACTACCAAATAAGCGGCCCACACCACTTGGATGGCTCTCCAGAGAATGTTCTCACTCTGGGAACTAAAGTCTGGTTCCCACTGCTTCTACCTTGCTGAGATCCTAAAGTCATAACTAATTCCTCTGGTCTTCTTTCCTATGAAACCCTATGAACAGCCACAGGGTAACTATTTCTCTAGCTGTCTGTAACCTAAAAACACTCCTGACAGGAAATGCTGCTCAGACTCCCAGGCCTTTGCTGAGCATCTACAAAACATGTAACTTGTGTGCAAATTTTAAATTATTTTAATTTGCAGAAATACTCAAAATTAAACTTAGTTAGAACTTTAAATGAGTAGATGTGGAGGGCCTCCCTGGTGGCACAAGGGGTTAAGCACAGCACTGCTAGGCTATCCGCAGCCTCTGCAGCACAAGTTTGATCCCTAGCCAGGAAGCTACCCACATGGCGCAGCAGACCTCTGCTGTCTCACTCGCTGCTCCCCTCAGCAATGTATTTCAGTCAGTCTGCCTGTTCTGTTCCCCACTCTGTCTCTGGTGAATCCTCTCACCCCCCACACCTCTGGCCTATACCCCAGTTTTTATATGTATAAATAAATAAATCTTTTAAAATAAATAAATGAGTAGATGCTTAAGCACAGCAAAATTTTCCTCTAAGATGTGTATACTTCTACTAAATCTGTGACTATGCTTTACTTCTACTAAAATAATACTATGTTTCATGCTATTTAAATAATGAAAAGCCCTTACCAATCCCTAACATATATCAAGGAAGTGTTCACATGAAAGCTACGGGTAAATTAAAAGTTTCAACGAAGGGTCTCCCTGGTGGCACAAGGGGTTAAGACGCAAACTATGAAGCTAACTGCAGCCACTGCAGCACGAGTTTGATCCCCAGCCAGGGAGCTACCCACATGGTGCAGCAGACCTCTCCTGACTTGCCCGCTGCTCCCCTCAGCAGTGTATTTCAGTCAATATGCCTGTTCTGTTCCCCACTCTGTCTCTAGTGAATCCTCTCACCCACCCCCCACCCCTGGACCCCGCACCTCTAGCCTGTACCCCAGCTCTTAGATGCATTAAAAAAAAAAAATTTTTAAATTTTAAAAAGTTTCAACGAACACTTGAAATACAGAAATCAATGTTTTAGAGCTTTATTCTGCTTGTTATTTGAACAAGATGAATTACAAAGTCTCACGTGATACGGATGATAATTACCCTGCAATAACCTTCACAAATGTCAGAAGTCAAATGAAAAACTTTGAAAAACTGAAAATTCTGAATTTCCCAGTCAAGATCAGAAGCTAAGGATTCTAAAGGCATCTTAGCTGTCTGACTTATGAAGCATCCCAAAATAGCCTGACATGCATGTCGGTGTGCAGGCCAGCCTCAAGGTAGTAGCAGTCACAGACTCCCTTGCTCATCTTGAGTTCATGAAACCCTCAGCTGAGCACATGTCACACAGATTGGAAAAGTTAACATCACCTAAATTACAGGCAAAATCGTTAAACATTCATATACAATCACTTACCCAAGACTCATGGTACAAAACTGTCAGTAAATACATTGCATAATCATAATTCTGTCTCCTTAAAGGGCACCTTTAAAAGAGAGAGGGAAAATGTCAAAATTCTAAAAACTCAATACAGAGAATAATTTGAAAAATATACAAATACTAAATACAAGGCAAACTTATATTCAGGTATTCCCTATCTGCTTTAGAAAAATTCTGTTCTTGGAATATGAATAATTTCACTAGAGGATACTGAAAACTGGAGCTCTTTTTATTTTTCTCTCTGTTATGACCACTAATGGAGTAATGTGTATCTGAGAAAAGCTGAGCATTATTTTTAACACAACTGGGTCCAATCCAAGTGCCCTTTACACTCTCGGAGTTAAGAGTCTTTGGAAGCATAAGCGCACCTGCTGAGTTCATTTTCAACAGAGGCAGACTGATGAGAGATGCTGATCTGAATGTTCATCTGGATTTCTCCAGAGTGCACCTTTTAAAAATGAGCTACAGTATACAAAACTGCATTGCTATTACTGTCTTTAAAAGGGAACTAACAACAAAATACCAGGTAAAACTTCTACATAAACATGAGACAGCTTGTTTGGCTTTGAAGCTGATAAAATACTATAGAAAAAGAAACAATTACTTACATTTTAAATATAAACTAAAACTAGGTCATGACAAATGACTTTAACTGTACTGTTTATTCTGTCATTTAGGTTTAATAGTCCTCTCCTCTAAATCGTTCCCATAAAAGATACACACTCAGACACTTGTAAACTTATCAGATACGTACAGAATTTCAAACAATAACATTTAAAAGGTATTTTTAAATTTGCACAAACTAAAACCATGACATTATATTTTCTAAAGATGGTAAAAAGAATATTACTAATACACTTCATCTCTATTTTTCCCCATATGGTAATAATCTAAAATCATGGTTCCCAAGCTTTTTCTGCCTCCATACTCTTGCCATCCTGCTATTTTTTCTCACCACTAAGAAGAGGATATAAACCTAATTGGCGCTGACATATCCAAATGCTATGAAACCCAGATAGGGAGAGAGAAATGATATCTACCCCACTTTGCTTTCCTTAAAGAAGTATGAAAGCATATTTTGACATAATTTAGAAACAACCAAAAGAAAATTCTAGAAACAAAATAATCACTTAATAAAAGCATACCAATAAACATTTTTAACTTTCATTGGCCTAATTTATAAATTCATGTAAGACAAATTTAGTACAGCTTTTATAAACTTCTAGACTAGCTCTTAAATTCTACTTATTTATGAAAGTATCTTGATAAATTAACTTTCCATATATATAACTGAATAATTTAAAATTTGAACTATAAGATTTTTATATATTTAGATTTGGTAAAAACCTATATAGCATTAATCACTAGCAAATCATACTTCTGTTTTCTTCTAAAATTGTCACTGAGTTTTCCATATATGTATATATTTAAAATAAAGTTTAAAAATAACAATAACTGAACTTAGCTGGGAAAGCCTCCCTGTACACATAAAGACCACAGCAACAGTAGATTAGTGTGAGGATATTAAAAATATAAATTAAACAACTTCTGTGGTCAGTTGATAGAAAAAGCTACCGTATCTTCTGTGCCATATCTTAAAAAGAACTGTCAGACTGGACGACAGCAGCATGAGGGCCTGACCCAGGAACTTCTCCTTTACCTATCAGTTTTGATGGTGAGCACATCTGTGGTCTTGCAGTAGCGTTCTCCCACAAGCTTAATAAATTTCTTCTTTGCATGATCATCTAAATTCAAACTGGAAAGTTTAACCTTAAAAATACAAGAAAAAATTATTGGGAAAAAATTATTTCATAAACTTAGTGTAATGAAAAAGAACAGTAGCAATGTTATTTACATTAACATGAAACTGACCTAAAAGAACTATTTCCAAACTCTCTTCTAGAGAGTTAGCAATTGGCACGCAGTAAGAAGCCTGATCTTATGCATGGAAAAAAATTTGGGAGGGGGAGCAAAAGGGTTTGGAGTTCTTTGACAGTGCTGGGCACCAGAACTTTTCCTTCAAGCTAATGACATGTCTCTCAGGGAAACAAAATTACGGTGCTTAAGAGGAGTACTAATGGAATTAAACTCAATTAGCATGAGAAAAGCTGAAATAAAGAATTAATTGGATAAAACATAAGAGTTTTAAGAAATGTGTGCCAAGGATGAGACCCATATCATGGCAATTCGTTGAGGGGCATGTATTTTTAAAGCTCCAAATATTTCAAGAAGGTTGGAAGACAGCATCTTGCTGGGTCAGAACATCTTAAATACTTCAGCCCACCATTTGTCAAAACGTTAACACTAGTCCCACAGGCTGCTCAGGGTACTGTTTTCAAAAAGGCCCTTCCTGTCAAATGAATTTAGAAATGCTGAGTTAAGCTGGCATCTTTAGCAGGAGTTCACGGAGGAGCTAATATACTACTAAGCATTCTGAAATGACAAGATGGGGGTTGTTATATATATAATGATGCCCAAATTCAGGTGACCCCAGTTCCACTTTTCAAAGGACAGTTTGTAGAATTAATCTTCCTGAAGACATATTCTGGAAAACACTGGACTAAGTGAACATACTTTTAAGAGAATTTAGAAGGAATTATGGCAAGGACCAAGGTCGTATCTAGATGACCAGGCATGACACAGGAAAATAGGACAGACACTAAAATACAGTTTGACAGAGAAACCTGAAAATGCTCCAGGAAAGTATTAAGAGTCTTAACTCTTGACTCTTTAGAGTTAAAGAATGTATGAAGATAAAAAGATCATGAAATCCATCCATTTCTTCTCCCCAGCTTCAATAACCCTGGAATTCCCTCAAGACACAGTGTAAGAGCTTATTTATTTTTCTATTTTCCCACTAGACTACAAACCCTTGAGGGTAAGAATGGTATCTGCCTTGCTTGAAATGGTATCTGTCATGGCCTACTTGAAAATCATGCAATGTGTTCGCTGAATGAATAATTAAAATTTTTAAAAGAAAGACAGTTTTTTAAAGTACTGTGATTTTTTTTTTATGTGAACAAGAGAAAATATGAAGAAATAAATACAAACACACTCCTAATGAATATAAGCAGTAAGAACACAAACTATTAACTATTAATCCAACAGTATAGTCACAGGTTGCAGACAATGTGAATTGCCATAGTCCCATGAAAAGAATATGTACCAAAATTAGGTTATCAGCTGAAGGAAAAAATAAGCAGTTATGGTAACACTCTCTGTGACATATAAGAAAACCAAAAAATGTGTTCACATTATGATAACAGGAAATACATGCACATATAATATACACAGTATAGACAAAGAAATGTTTCCTTTTAAAACTCTTTAAAGAAATCATGTTTAATGATACATTTAAAAAAGTACCATTTAAAATATTTAAGTGTTCTAGCTTTTCATGTAAGAAAAAAAAAAGTAGCAGCAATGCTGAACATTATTGTAACAAGTGCTTCAAAACTCATGTTCACACTGACATTTTAATGTTCAAAATTACACCGTTTATGCCAGAAACACATAAATATTTCAGAAACAGCTGTGTGGTGCATTAATGCCACCTGCTGGCATGCTAAAGCACTGCAAAATTGCAGCCTTAACCTGGATTAAACCTGACTTTGGAATTAACTGGAGTTGTCATTCTTTTCCCAAAATCCAAAAGAATCCTTAGATTTTTCTTATCTCGAGTTGCTATATTTTAAAGAATCAATATTTTATTAATAACAATAACCCCCAAACAACCTTGACACTTCAAATCACAGGAGACTGGCTCTACGTATCCTCAAAAGCCCACATTTAAAAGAACTGCAAAAATTGAGACAAGCCTAATGTGTAAAAAATTTTCCCAATTTACAATGCAGTCTTAAAGAATTCAGGGTGTGACTACATAGAGACAAAAACTGGGTCTGATATCCAGATTTGCTATCAACTAAGCAAACTAGGAAAAATCATTTTATCTTCCTGAGACCCTTTCTTATTTATAAAATAGAAGGATTCACAGGAGTTTCATCAAAAACGAATGAGATTAAAAGCAGAAAGCACTTTTTGAAGTCTTATACAAATGTTTATGTTTTTAATTTTTAAGTACCTTCATGACTAGTCAAGAAAATTATACTTATCTCAGAATTTAAAAAAAGTCTAAATATCTCTTTTATAATATTTGCTTCACCCTCACAATACTGTGTCAAATCACACCAAAATGCACCCACCACAGTCATACTGTTTTACCCCTGAACTTTATGTCATCATCCAGGAGACTACTGAGCCTCAACAGTCAGCAGATGGAGTGAAAAGAGACCAGAAAGGCAGACAAGTGTCCAGTAGGACAATAAGGGACAATAAGGGCTATGCAGGGCATATACTTAAATGAGCAAACCTGACACGTAGGGACTTGTGAGGTCTACTCTAGTACTGGAGGCCGTGCCGCCAAAGTTAAGACAAAGAACAGGATTAGAGTCTAGGTTGCCTCACTCTGAGTTCAAAGGCGTTTTTAAATAGCACAGTAACTGTTAGCTGTTTATATCATTACTATTAAAAAGCAGTAGTGTTATTTAAGGTCTTAAAAATGTATCAGGTATTATTAGTCCATTCTAGACTTTCTGAATTTTACACAGTAAACATGGCAAAATTATCTCCTGTGATCTCAAGTACTTTTAACTCACCAAATATAAAAATATATTGCTATGATGTTTCAACTGTACTATGGAGAAAAATAGATTAGAGGGTTCATAAAGTCATTTCATAAAGGTGGCACAACCCTGATACCAAAACTCAGTAAAGAAAACTCCAAATCAATCACAGCTCCAGTACTGAAAAAGTTCTGGGAAGTAAGCATTGCCTAGTTAGCCCATAATGTGAAAATGGCTGCAGATGTTTTAGTCACATTTTTGCCAGTATATGTGGAAAGTTTTTTTGAGAGTCCTGGAAGGGACCTAAGTGGTGGCAGCAACTCTCGGGGATAGGAGAATCAAAAGTGCATTTCCTACGAGAAAAAGGACTGGACAGAGAATATGTAAACAGCATGGAGCATTACATGGTGCCAAAAGATAAAAAATTTAAAACAGAAGACTGAGTCATGCCAAAGGACCAGAGGAGCCAAAAGCACCCAATGACTGAAGTCAATAAAATGAGCCACAAAATAAATAACATCACTGATTGTAACTCAAAGAATAAAATAAATATCCATGAGTTCATACTTATATAACAAAATGGTTGACTAAGTACACAAATCTCCCAGAAAGAATTTTAAATAAGTTAGGTGATGATTCTAAAGGAGGGGGAGATAACTCCTGATCCTTGTGCTTAATGACTTCAATCCAGAGTACAGTAGGGAAGTGAAGAGAGTAACTTTACGGTACAGAAAACTGGCAGATATGACCAACCCAGGTGATCTGGGCAACCCTGCCCATGTTGAGTCCTGCCAGGTGCCAAGCATGATGACACAGCTCCTTGCCAGGCTAACCACAGAGAATAAATTTAAACTGAAGAGCCAAACTAGTACTCCACCAAACTAGTACTTCTCAAAACTGTTGATGGCAACAAAAACAAGAAATTCTGAGAAACCATCGCAGCCAAGAAAAGACCACAGAGACATGAAGACAAAATGTAATGTGGTTCCTAGATGGGATTCTAAGCAGAAAAAGAGCATAGGGTAAAAACTAAGGAGACCAGAATCAAGTGTGGACTTTAATAACGAATCATGTCAATTCATTAGTGGGGACGCATGTACTATAATGATGCAAGATGTTAATAACAGGAGAAATTGGGTGTGAAATATAATGGAATGCTCAACTGTGCTAGAAATTTTCCTGTAAATCTAAAATGTTTCTAAAGTACAAAGTTTAAGAACATATCAGGTAACTGCCCTGTGACTGCTGTTTGAAAAATATATGCCAGATGTATGAAGATTCCTTAAACACATGGCTGACCTGGCTTTAAACACTCATTTAGTGGTGACTATGACCAAACTTGGAGGTGCTACGAAGGGGGCTTGTTCTGGTAAGATTAGGGAGTTGATTTTTCTCCAAAGCAACATGAGATTAGGACAATGGATCATAAATAAAGTACTAACAAAGAAAGTCAGCAGAGGAGTAAAAGAAAGACATACCATGGACCAATCAGGGTTTAGAAATGCTTTGGTAACTGAAAATATATTCATTTATTCAATTATTCAAGAGATTAATTCAAAAATGCGAGGAAATTAGGAATAGGATACATTGTTAACGTAATAGAACTGAAACCCAGTCTCATACCCAGAGGCTACACACTGCAGCAGTCACTAAAGTGTTGAATAACTAGTCAACAAGCACAAAAATGTTCCACATCACTAGACATTAGGGAAACGTAAACCAAAAGCACATGACATAGCATTTCACACCCATTAAAATGGCTGAACTCAAAAGACCAACAATAATAGTCACCATTGAGGATGTGAAGAAACTGGAACCTTCTACCATTGCTTGTGAAACTGTGAAACAGTGCAGCCACTTTGGAAAGCAACTGGGCGGTTCCTCAACATGTTATACATAGAGTTACCAAATAACCCGGCAATTCCACTCCTCAGTACACAATCCAGAAAATATACATCCACACACAAATCTGTATGTGAATGCCCAGAAACATTCTTCATAAAATCCAGAAGGTGGAAACAACCCAAATGTCTGCCAACTAATGAAAGGATAAAAAATACAGTATCCATTAAGTGGAATAACACTTGGCAATAAAAAGGAGTAAGAGCTGATATATACCACAGTAAATTAAAGGATTACACTAGGGGT